AAAAAAGTTACAACAAACGCATGTTTTATTTCTCTATCATTATTCTTATTACTATTATTTTTTTTCTTTTTAATATGTTTAGATGTCGGAGTTTCCCCATAGAAAAAAAAAAGAGGTTTCTTGTAAGGAGAGTGAAAAATATTGTTGTATAGATCTTACATTTGAAAATTTTAAATAGAAAAATTAAGATAAAAAGTAAACAGAGAAAAGGAAGAAACAGGTAATTGATCATCAAATTTACTTGTATACTTTATCAGTCAAACTAAACTAACTGTTTATACAGTTAAAGCAGTAATATTATATCTAAATTTTTCCTTGTTTTCCTTTGCTAAACTTGATTCCCTTTTTTCAACAATTTAAATTTGATGTCGTCAATATTGAACTGAGTTTAATTTTTTTTTTCCTTACATTTGTATACTATTATTTGAAATTTGTTTATGAAATTGTTAGTAAAATATCTGCAAAGAAATAAAAAAAAATTTTTCACTGATAAATTTGGTTGCTATTTACCAATCAGCAGTCAAAAAAAAATTTTGATGAGCCCTTTGGTGGTCTACAGAAATCTTTAAAGAAAATGATTTTTTATTTATTATCAGAATTACTGCTATTACTGATGAAATCCTTTTCTTTTTTTTTTGATTGATCAAATAATGGTTAGTAAAGAAAGAATATTGTGAAAAATGGTTGTAATAAATAACAGATTAGGCAACTATATTGCACCTCAAAAATAACCTCTTGATTTTTTTTTTAGCTTTTAATTTTTCGTTAAAAGCTTCAAAATTTTTTTTTTTCTTTTTTATCAATTTATATCACATATAAAAATATTTTTATTTATTCTTTATATTATTTATTTTTAAACTGTAAATTGTATTTACATCTTTAATAATCAGTAAGTAGTTTGATAAAAAATTAATTCAAAGCATAAGGCATAAACAATTATTGATACAGTGATGACACTTTAAGTGTTTCTTATCAACTGGCATCTGTAACGCTGAATACTACAAACAGACATATGCCGTATCCAAGTAAAGATAAATGCTGAAGTCTAGCGAAAAAATTTTGATCATCTTTCTGCTAATTTGGTTTTGATTTTAGCAGTTTGTCTCAGTTAATAAAAGAAAAAAGTGATAAAAGTAACATATCAGTTGCATAAATCAGCAACAAGTCACAGAATTTAACAACTTTTAGGTAGTCTAACTTTTCTAGACTTTCTACTGCAACAGAATTTTTGATGTCTTTAGGAAACTAAAAACTGTTCACAATAGTTCGTAAGATGTAGATGAAAGCAAAATCAGGCGTCTAAAGTTTGGATGGTCTTTTTAAGTATAAAATTGATGAAATTTTTGTAAATTTGGTAAAAGAACAACTGTTATGCAGCAGTTTTCTTCAACTTTTTATCAGATTAGTTTAGCATTTACTTTTAGTTGAGATGTTCAGAAGATTAGAAAATTGTGTTAAGGTTAATCTAACCAAGAAACATTCCTGTTTTTGTTAGCAAGAACTAAAAGATTTAAAGTTTCCTGAAGTTTATTAATTTTTTCTCATGCTGAATGGAAAAAAGGAATAGGAAAGTCTGCACAACAATTTGCCTAAATTTCCAGAAAACTCTAGTTCCGTGTGCGTTTTAGTTTCATAATTTTTGTGGGTATATTTGATGAGAACATTTGACGTCTTTCACTCTTGTATAATTTAAAAAATAGGAAAAGCACTTTGGCTACACTTTGGAATATCGACTTAGCTTGATACTTGTAGTCTTGATATTATTGTGTGCTTATGACTATCTTAGTTCAAATAGCCATTCACCGTAGTTATTGGATACTGATACAGTAGCCGAAAGAGATAAACACTCGACGCTGTTCTGGTGGTTGATTTCTGTCATCAAAGACTCAAGCTATCCTGATAGCTACAGATCAACTGATCATCACTGCGCTTGATTTCTTTGGCATAATAAGGCGAACATTTGCAATTTATGTGGTATTTTAAGCATTGTTCCAGCTTATTGTAATTTGGAAATGTATTTTTTTGTGCGCAATGCCATCGTTCTTTTCCTGTCATCGTTTGAGAGTGAAAATTATGTAATGAAGAAGAAAAAGAAGGAAAAGATGTTGCGAGAAGGATGAATGAAGTGCGAAATAATTTGTAACTCTTTATGATTCTAAAAAAAATAGAATGGAATAGAATAAAAAGAAATGAAATGAAATGAAATGAAATAAAACGAAGTGCCGGACTGAGCTAAGCGAATAGGAGTTGGCTGGTAATGCTATGTTCCGTGAATTCACTGGTTGTCATGGTGAATTGTTTCCTTGGGTTTGTTTCAAATAAAATAACCTAATGATACGCCGCTGCCATTCGATGAAAACCTTTGAATGTCATTTGCCCCATAAGCTTATTTTTTCGCGGTTTTTCAAACGAATAAACTACCAAAAAAGAAAAAAAAAAGAATGGAAAAAAATATTATCAATTTCATTGATATATTTTGTGCTTTCAGTCTTTATTTCTGCTTTCTTTTTTTTTTGTATTTTTGATAAAAGAAAAAATTTAGTGAGTATTATGTATGTTAATGTTACTGTTGTTGTTGCTACCGCCACTACCATTGATGATTTTGTTACTCTCCAAGTCCTGACTTCTTCTTTTCATCGTCTCCCTAATTGTTCGGTTTTACCATGTCAGTTACTACTCTACGTTCAACTAATATTTCATAATCAATTAAAAAAAGATTTGTAATTTTTTTTTGTTGTAACGAAGGACTGCTCCACAATACTGCATCGTACACAAAATTTGAAACTTTTATTTAGCATTAAACTGTTATCATCTTGAATAATTTGCCACTATTCAGTTTCTTCAGTTTCAAAAAACAATTTGGTGAGCAAATTTTGCTTTTAAAACTTATGATGACAATTTGCAAAATATTCCTGAATGTGCTCTTTTTTTCGTTTCCTTTTTCATTGTTGCTTCTGAACAACTGGTGAGACTAAAAAGGTTTGTTTTTTAATGGATTTTTGATACGTTTTTTCAAAAAATTTCACTTATTTTTAAAATTTTCACGCTACTGCCAGTGAAATAAAAAAAAAAAACTATAAATGGATTGATTTGCAAACTTCTGGTAATAGTTAAGATACATAAAAAGATGGCAATTTTTCTGTGACTTGATTATCCGCAGGAGCTAGAACACACAAACGGATAGAAAAAAACAAACACACATACATACGCACATAGATTGGTTATTAATGCATATGTTTTTTGAATGAAGTATAAAATAAATCTTGAAGATTTTATATATAAAAAAAATGGATAGCTGAGATTACTTTAAAATCTTTTTGTACGCTCTTTTTTTTCCTGCTTTTAATTTTTTCCCTTTTACTAGTCGTCAAAAAATTTGTTTTCACGTTTTTATCGGGCAATGGTTTTAGTCCCCTCCTTGTCGTTTGCACGGCCTAACAAAACGACAAAATAACTGGGCGGCAATGTGTGCAATTGAAGTCTAATTTCGTCCTTAGTTTCCATTTTTTTTCCATACTTTAATTAGTCAGCAAAAACACTACCTTTGCTTGCAGTGTCCAAACTTTATAGCAGCAACAACAACGAAAACGCAGGCGAAA